AATTTTCCAATCAGAAAAGGAAGTGGTGACCAATGAGCAAATGCTGCAAACACAGAAAACGAAATCAACAGCACTTATAAAGCGGCTAAACTTAGTAAACAAACATGTATATAAGTGATTTTTCTTTTTTTTGAGGCAGAGTTTTGCTCTTATTGCCCAGGCTGGAGTGCAATGGTGCAATCTCAGCTCACCGCAACCTCTGCCTAGCAGGTTGAAGTGATTCTCTTGCCTCAGCCTTCTGAGTAGCTGGGATTACAGGCATGCGCCACCATGCCCAGCTAACTTTATATTTTCAGTAGAGACAGGGTTTCTCCATGTTGATCAGGCTGGTCTTGAACTCCTGACTTCAGGTGATCCACCTGCCTCGGCCTCCCAAAGTGCTGGGATTATAGGCGTGAGCCATCACACCCAGCCATGAGTGATTTTTCTATTAAAAGCCACGTGCCTCAAAATATGAAAAACAATGTACTTCTAAACAATCTCAAAACAAAATTGAGACAACGATTTCATTTATAATAGCATCAAAGAGAATAAAATGCTTAGGAATATATCTAAAAGTGTAACACCTGTACAATAAAATCTACAAAACACTTTTGAAAGAAAGCAGAGTTCTAAATAAACGGAAAGACATTCCATCTTTTTGGATCAGAAGACTTTGTATTAGGATAGCAATACTCCCCAAATTAGCCAAAAGATTCAATGTAATCTCTATTAAAATACTAGCTGTCTTTTTTGACAGACCTTGCCAAGTGAATCCTAAAATTCATACTCTCAACGTACCCAGAATAGCCAAAATAATCTTGAAAAAGAGTGGGAGGACTCACACTTTCTTACTTCACAACTTAATACAAAGCTACAGTATCAAGGGAGTGTGGAACAGGCATATATCAATGGAACAGAACTTAGAATCCAGAAATAATCCCAAACATCTGGCCAGACGTGGTGGCTCACACCTGTAATCCTAGCACTTTGGGAGACTGAGGCAGGCGAACTGCCTGAGCTCAGGAGTTTGGGACCAGCCTGGGTAACACGGTGAAACCCTAACTCTACTAAAAATAAAAAAATAAAAATTATCCGGGCATGGCAGCCATGCAACCTGTAGTCCCAGCTATTTGGGAGGCTGAGGCAGAACTGCTTGAACCTGGGAGGCAGAGGTTGCAGTGAGCCAAGACCATACCACTGTACTCCAGTCTGGGCAACAGAGCGAGACTCCATCTCAAAAATAAAACAAACCCCAAATTTCTATGGTCAAATGATTTTTGACAAAGGGTCTAAGAGAATTTAACAGGGAAAGAATTGTCTTTTCAACAAATGGTACGAGGACAACTGGATATCCATATGCAAAATGAACTTCATCCTCTACCTCACACCATACACAAAAACTTATTCAAAATGGATCACAGAACTAAACATAAGAGCTAAAACTATAAAACTTTTAGAATAAACAATTCTTCTTCATGATCTTAAATTGGGCAATTCTTCACGATCTTACATTTCTTTTTTTTTTTTTTTTTTTTTTGGGA